AACATAACTTGATCATTGATTGCTTAAAAGTTAAAAATTACAATTGCTGAAAACAAGAAATTATAATAGCTAGTGGAGGGAGCGAACTCTAAAAAGTTTTAAAAATGTTTAAAGACTAATATCCCCTATAATAGATTTCAGAACAAAAACCCAATTAACGGGGAGTAGACGTTTAAAGTCCGTAGAATCATACTAAAATTTTCTAATTTCTAACTATTTTACAATTTAAATAAAATATTTACAAGGTGTGGTCAAAGTTGTGCAAATTGCGACTGCGATAGGATCACATGGTTTAAGTAAAGTTGCGGTCCGTGACACAATGTCTTGATTTTATTATTGTCTATTTAAATAAACTTACGGGGGTTACAATGAAATACATTATTTAAGAGTGGATAGATATGTAAAATTGGCGGATAAAATAGGGGCTCTCTTATGGTGGTTTTTTTTTTTTTTGAGATTATAAATTTAAAAAGGGAAAAAAAATAAAAAATTACGTTTTTAACTTGATAAACAAAAGCTGCCAAATCATTAATCTAATCAAAATCGTACGTTGCAATTTGCATCCAGCTCCCCGAACTCCTTAAAGTGGAGAAAAACGGCGAAGAAAAGAGTACGAAAATGGAGTCTTCGGAGGGTTTAAGGAAAGAGGAAGAAAAGCCATGGCGAGTCCTCGAATTCTACAGTGGCATAGGCGGCATGGTCTAATCTTCTCTTCTCTTTCTCAATTACATGTATATGCATTTGTATATATATGCGTAAATGTGAAATTTTTGCCCTTTTTTATAATTGTTGTAGAAATATTCGCTTATGAAGGGGGCAGTTAACGCGAAAGTCGTTGAAGCATTCGACATTAACGACGTGGCCAATGATGTTTATGAGCATAATTTCGGCCATCGACCCTACCAGGTACCTTAACAGATATGAAATTGTCACGAATTAAGTTAATTATTGTATTTCTAACGTAGTTATTGATTTAAGTAAATCATATTATTCTAGGACGTGTAAAAGTTTTGAGATTACAGAAGGTAAAATGACTTCTACTCTGTTAATTTCGAAATTGAGGTTTTTTTTGGGTCCTGAGGATTTCATAGTTACTGATAAGTTATTGTACTTCAATAAAGATGTGAACTTTGTTTACTAGTGGACTTTTCCTTAAATTTGTCTTCAAGTGGTTTCATGTCTACTTGTTTGCACATGTTGTTCAACCACCCCAACAAAAAACTTAAGCAGTTAGAAATGGTCGTCTTCATGTGTTAGTTAATTTTTTCCCATAGTCTAATACGTGTACAATTTAATTAAAATAGATACTTGAACCTAAGACCTTGTGTGTTGTGGTACAATTTTTTTTATTATCTAAAGGGCTTTTATTTAACTTTAGTTTCAAATTTTTAAATGACTTTATTTGATAAAAATTTAGATAAAATTTAAGTTTCGATGATATTCATATTATGTAATTATGATTTCGAAACTTATCGTTTTGTTGGAAATTTCGAAAGTATGTATGAAATTCCTATAAATCTGTTAAGTAGGGCTTGTCTAGTTGAAAGTTGAAATTATGAAAAAAAGTTTAGTTTTTGTATTTTGAAAACGTGAAAAATTATATATTTAATTAATTGTAGGAATTATTTAGTAAATATGAGATTTTATAATTTTAGATGTTTAGTATGTATTATGTTAATTTTTAAATAATTTTTAGAATGATTAAGTATTTAAAATAAAAATAAATAAGTAACCTTTTTTTACGACTAGGCTCGCAAAGTTTGAAGTTTGACTTTTACTCTTAGTTATGCTTTACGCTTCTTAGAATACTGATATTAACACATGTTCTTATTTCTTATGTTATAAATTGCAATATATGTCCATATCCATTTTATCATCCCCATTCTCACGACATTCATCTTATGGGCATACGTCTGAAAACCCAAGACATAAGAGATCCAATCTTCATTCCAATGAACTTACCTCTTTAACTTTATTGGTATTTATATATCTTCAAATCACCCTTCTTTGTTAATAATTGAACCTAAGTACCATAAACATTAACTCCTAGAGACAATATGATCTTCATGGTGATCCAATGTTATCCTTGTTCTTTCTATAATTGTACATTTTATGTATTTTGTCTTAGTTCTACTTAACATAAAAAATCTATATTTCTAAAGAAGTTCTCGAAAATTCTTTCTTATAAATTCACTCTTGCTTAGTCTCATCTACTACATCTATGTCATCGTCATTACCATATACTAATGAAGCCTATATTGGATATGCTCGTAAGTTCATTCATGACCAATGCAAAAATCAAGATTTATGGAGAAACCTTGATACAAGCGTATGTTGATACGAACTTTTCTACCATCACCTCCGATACTTCTTAGACATGTGACTATTGCATAATACATGTTTTGGCTAATATCAGTACATTAAATAACTTATTGTTTTGTATAACATTTTCTTTAGAATCTAATCGTAAATTTTTCCTGATTTGAAATGAAAACAATGTTTTACATCAATTTATTCTGCACGGACATGGACATAGACATGCACGTGTTGGACACAACACGATACAGACATGCCGACCTATGATTTTTCGAAAATATAGGAAACGGATACATCTTGGATCTATTCTATCTTTATCTTTATATTTTTTTATCTTTTAATGAAGTCAATTCTTTTTTTAGTTTTGATCTTTGTTCATGAAATCTTTTAAATTAGTTGAGTAGCTATTTGTTATATAAAAATAACTTTATGTTAAGCTAGATATTACTTAGCTGAATAGAAAAATACATATACTATATGTCATAGAGTATTTATGAAGTGTCGGACACAGACACGCAGTACCAATGAGAGCATATGTGCTTCATAGACATTAAATCATGTGCACGAATGTTTCTAGTTGCCTGTGATTGTGGGTATTGAGGATAACCATTCTTATCATGGTAAATTAAAATGTTATTTTGGACTTGTTTTCATCTAATAAAGAAAACATAATCGCAATAAATAATTTTAGTGTTTGTTCTTATTTCGCATTTCACTTTGTGCTAACCTTAAGCATGATGTTGCTACATCCATTTTTGGTGAACTTAGGGGAACATTCAAACCTTGAGTGCTGCTGATCTTGACAGATATGATGCGGACACATGGCTTTTATCTCCTCCTTGCCAACCGTACACTCGCCAAGGTAATGTATTGTTTTCTCTTTATCTTTTCTTTTTTCAGTTTTCTGTTAATCGGCAACAATCTCTTCAATTTGCTATATATTAAGGTCTACAGAAAGGGTCCGCTGATGCTAGAGCTTTCTCTTTTCTCAAAATTCTTGAACTTATACCGCAAACTTCCCGACCTCCGCTCATTCTATTTGTTGAGAATGTTGTTGGATTTGAGGTTTGTACACGTCTTTCCGAAATGAAAGTTGTATTTTAAATATCTGCATTCCATTTATAATTTATTTATTTGTTATTAACTTTGGAGCTATTCTAAAACTGTTTTGTCCGTCTTGTTTTATGGTTTGTTGCAGATATCTGATACACATACAAAGATGCTTCGGATATTGAGAGAAAATCATTTTGTTACACAAGAGTTTATTCTGAGCCCCTTGCAGTTTGGTGTGCCATATTCCAGGCCACGTTATTTTTGTTTGGTCTCTCCCCCACCTCAGCCCTCTCATTCTGTGTTTGTGAATCTGTTTTATGCCATTTGCTATAAATATTGCATGCATTATAGGTTTATGAATTTCTTTATGTGTATTTAAGGAATTACACATGTATCCTCATTTATCTATGAACATATGTAGTTGAAACATTTTGAGAAAAATGTGTTGGTGAAGTATACATTTTTTAGGTGATGTATAGGATATATTATTAGCTAATGCTAGTTATTTCATATCTAATCTTAAATGTGATGACTTCTGCTCATGGCCAACCACAGGGAAAGTATTAGAAGAAAGATAAAAGAGAAAGAGAAATGATTTTAACATGGTTTAAAAAGGCGGTAGTGAGGCCCGTAGTATGCCTCGAGGCGATATTTTTGAGGCTAAAAATATGAGGCTCACGCCTTTAAATCTGAGGCGCACGTCTCATTTAAAATTTGATTTTTCAATTGTATGAAAAGAAATAAAAAAGGGCCTTTCTTAAAAAAGAAATGGCCAATTTAAAAAGCCATTTTATGCCCAAACAAAACAATAAAATACCTAGAAAACTAAATGGCAGCTAGAAATTAGAGGACCAAAAAGGGAACAGATTCAACAGAAATTCAAAAGTTAGAATTCAAGAAGAGTATCGTATTCTTTATCAGTTTATCGGGTATTTTTTGCTCTTTTCTTTTTCTTTTTCTTCTTCTTCTTCTTCTTCTCCAACTTTGGTTTTTTTGTATTATTTTATAATTTTTTTTACTTAGATTTTTTGTTTTTTGTGAGGCTCACGCCTCAATCCGCCTCGAGGCTTACGCCTCGCCTCATAAAGAAAAACCGCCTCAATATACCGTGCATTTGATTATTGATTTGATAGGAAATCATCATGAATTTTTTTTCTGTATTATTTTCAATGCAGGCTAAAAGGAAACCCGCGTCTTTTCAGTACCCACAATTTAATAATGAACTTCTTTGGGCTCCAGGCCCTTTACTTGGGACTGACGGTTGCACGGTGACTAGTGAAGGAGAACAATTGCATGGATGTTGTGATAAATTGCTTCAAGCTTGTCAACCTATAGAAGATTTTTTGGAATTGAAGAATTTTAGGGATGAGGATTTAGATTCCTGCATTGCTAATGTGTCCGAAACTTCTGATGAAATTGAAGAAGGAAATAGATCTGTCAATTGTCCATTAAATCAATTCTTTGTTCCATCGAGCTTGGTGGAGCGGTGGGGAAGTGCCATGGGTATCCTTTTTCGTCCATGATACTTTCTCTATGTCAGTGTATTGTTTTTCTTTTTTAGCAACTGTACTATTCAAAGAATTCTTTAAAAGCTTTATAGATATTGTTTTTCCTGAGTCAAAGCGCTGCTGTTGTTTTACAAAAAGTTATTATCGATACGTGAAGGGAACTGGATCTCTTTTGGCAACTATCCCGGTAGGATTATTATGAATTTACTTGAGTTTATTAAGCATCCCTAGATTTCAACTTTCACTAGAGAGGTAGAAGTCACGATGCTGAAATAGTGTTCCATGCACTATATTTTGTGCATGTCTAGTACATAGAATTGGGGAGGATTGGACAATACAATAAACAAGATTTTAGTCTTTCTATTCTTCTTTAACACTGACCAGTATTATCCAAATTCCAATCCTCCCTACCAAACATGCCATTTTGGTGCATTATCTTACTTTGTGTACTAATCTTCCTCATTTTTCCCTCTCATTTTTTTAGTCCATAACCATGTGCATTCCAGGCTTTCACACTTATAACATTTTCCAATTTTCTGCCTAATGCATTAAAGTCTTTGGTCTAAACTTTTCATGAATGTGAATGGGAACTACACAAATCGTAATCATCTATGTTGAGGAGATTGCATGCTAATGTCCTCAATGAAGCTATGATCATTGCCAATGACTCAGTAAATGTGAAATTCCATGCTAGGTCTATAATGACTCGTTCCTTGCATCAATAAGATCGTGTGAAGTTTGACTTCGTATCTTTTTCATGTATTATGGTTACTTTGTGATCAGGTAATTGCTGATTCTAAATTTTGTTGTGCTATGTCAATGTTATCTTGTCATGTTTGCATATTTTGCAGGGGACGACAAAAGATAAAATATCTAAAGTGGAGGACTTACGACTTAGATACTTCACGCCTAGGGAGGTATGAATTATTTTGATTCTTCTTCTGTAGGGGTAGATATCATTTTTTTGAAGATGTTGATATAGCTTAAAACTTTCCAATTTTACTTTCAGGTTGCTAATTTACATTCTTTTCCGGATGATTTCCAATTTCCACATGACGTAAGCCTTCGGCAACGGTAGGTTCTATTTATTCTCTTTGCTCATGAAGGCACCTTAAATGGGGTTAATTTATGTCGCTTTTAAAGGAAATACTCAATTAACATGTAGACCATGTAGTAAAAAGCAATTTATTCGCTTTTCTTAATTGACATCTCTTTTGGTTAATATTGTTTTAAACAGTATGTCTCATTCCATCTAAAAGGACACAGTAAAATAGTCGACTGCTTTGGGCAGAATGTGTATCCCTTTCAAGATGAAGTAATCAACCATAGACACTGCAATGGGAAGTTGTCTGAATGAGCCAACGGCAGAAATATTGTATTAACTTTTCTTTCTTACTCATTCAAATAAGTTTTTGGGATCTGAGTGCTACCATGATTTTGCAGTGGCTTGTGTCGTTTAAAATATCCAATAGCTTTTTCTGATGCAACCACTTAATATTGCTATAACCTCTGAAAAAGTGGAATAATTGATGAAATATGAGATGAAGACTCGAAGATAAAAGCATGTAGGTGATAACACTTTTTAACATGATGTATGTTTGCAAACATGCATGGTGCTTCTTTTGGTGTGATTATCTGCTGATGATGAATTGTATCTGCACTGGAGGCTGATAAGAGAGAAGTTACATGCACACTGAAGGCCGATTGGGAAATGTTTTTAGATTAAATGTTTCTAGCTTTTCATGACCAGTGGTCTATATGTCATAAAACAAAACATGAACTTTGGTAAAGTGGTTCAAATTAGGATCCCATTTCTTTCAGTTACTGTCTAATATGAACAACTAAAAAAACATTCATTTAACTTTTCCTGTTTTGTTTACCTATATATTTTGGGAACTGTGCAAAGTTGCTCCATACATCAAGAAACATAACACATGCTCTGTTTGAACATGCAATTTAGAGTCACGGGCTCTTAGGTCTCCACTCATTTTACAGTAAGTAATGAAAATAAGTTTGTGAAATCACATCCAAACAAAATCTTATATCTGCAATCCTTTTGGATTTCATTGACTTATTGGCAACAAGCTAGGTATCTTTCATTCTCTTGGAGTTGTTCAAAGGGTTTGTTTCACAGTTTTTTTTTTTTTAATCATAGCGCACCGATGGTCTTGAGTCTTTATATTATTGATCTTTTTTTGCACGTAACATTAGGCCGTAATTTACTTTTGAGCTGTACTGCATTTTATTTGATTTGTAAATAATGACTGCCTTTTGGTGATGGATGTTGGAATACCTTCACAAGACCTGAACTTTATGGAGTATTTCCTAGGTTAGTTGTGGCTGATTTATGATGCTTTGGTTTGTTTTTGATGTTTATGCCTTGTTCCAATTGTCTTCTTTCTTATCATTACAATAGTCTGAACTGAGATGAACTGAGATGGGGAAGGTAAAGAGTGACTTTGCATCTGGCTTAGCCTAAGAAAAGTAAACTTTGATCAACTTTTTTTGCGAGACATTTGAGCTTTTGTAGAAGTAGTTTTTTTTTTTTTTTTAATTTTTTTTTCAAAAACTTAATTTCTAAAAAGTCATCACATACTTTCAAGAAATAAATTCTTACTTTTTTAGGCTTAGCCAAACATGCTCAGTCTTCTGAATTTTAAACTAGCTCAACTGAACTGTAGTCCTGAGATATATTTGTAATTTAGTACTGTTTCTGCAGTTATGCATTGCTTGGGAACAGTTTGAGCGTTGGAGTGGTGGCTCAGCTATTTCGCTATCTATTTACGAATCAATCATGTTAATGCCACAACAATCTCCATCTTTATCCAGACGAACTTGCACGCCCATCACATTTTCAGGAAGGTGCTAAGATCTGTAAACAGCTCTACGGGTTTTCTTTTCCATTTCATGAAGTTGATCCATATTCATCCGTTGTTTTCACACCAATGATTATGATTTTAATTTTAATTCAAGATAGTCTCTGTTAAGCAGCAGTTAATTATTTGTATAGCGTGTTCTTGTTTGTGCTCAAGGTGATATTTGTATCGTCATTTTTCTGAACATATTTACACGCATCTGATATTTTAAATTAACATGGCCTAACGCAGGGCCGGTTCTGTGATTTTCGGGGTCGAGGCGAACTCCCAAAATTGGGCCCCCCAATATCAACGTAAATGCAAAATCCAACAGTGCATTATGCTAATGCAACGTATTGCTAACTTAACACTGAAGAGTAAAACAACAAACAAATATAAAGAACAAAAGATTTATATATATTATAAAGTAACAAAACCGACAAGAGTTCAAACAATCAGTTAAATACTATTCGTCTAGCTGTTTTAAAGGCAAAAATATTAATCAAATCTGAATAATTTAATTGTTCAATTATATCTTTCTCTATTGATAACATAGTCAATCCATTCAATTTTTCTAGTGACATAGTTGATATGAGGTAAGTCTTGATCAACTTCAATTTGGAGAAATTTCTTTCTGCAGATGCAACTGTAACCGGTATGGTTAACAAGATTTTATAAGCCATATAAGTATTTGGAAGACAAACATTCAATGTCTTCAAATATCGTAGCACTTCAATTGCTCTCGTTGCTTCACTTGATATATAGCACTGCAAGACTAGTATATCCGAAAATAAATCATCTCAACTAATGTCCGAACGTCCACTATGTTCTAATTGTTTCTCAAG